CTCCCTTTCCTAATGAGAGAGTTCGCTAAGGGAGGAATAAGCCAATGGTTGCCCTGTGCTTTTTAAATATGCCGATGATTTCACTATTCTTTCGCCTATCACTAGGAATAGTGACCCGTCTGCCGACTTAGTAGGACAGTTCTTAACATGGTGTAAAGACAATAGAATGGTCTGCAACCCTTGCAAATGTAAAGAGCTGGTTGTTAGAAAGAAAAATCATAATGTACTCTACTCTCCAATTAATAATATTCCCCAATGTAATAGCTTCGTTTTACTAGGAGTAACTTTACAGAGTGACGGAAAATTTGATGAGCATGTAAGAACTAAGCTTGTCAAAGCAAACAAGTGTTTACACGTCCTACGAACATTGAGAAAGGAACATTACTCTCAGGCAGAGATTGATCATCTTTTTATATCCATTGTTTTGGCTAATTTTAGCTATGCACTTTCAGTCTATGGGGCATCTGAGTCCGATCTTACGGTTGTACAAAATTTTTTAGACCGATGTCATAAACGCCGTTTTATCTCATTTCCAGTTTTTATCAAGAACCTTTTAAACAAACAAGACCGAAACATTTTGAAGAAACTAAAATCAACGGATTGCCACCCCCTGAAAGACATCATTCCTGTCCAAAAGACATATGTACATAATCTTAGGAAAAAAAGTTGCGCACGCCTGAAAATTAATACACAGCGCTTTATGAACACCTTTGTAAATAGGTTGATATTTAAGCTCCATTTATTGTAATGACATACTTTTTAATTCATAATAACATGCATGTAGATTTCTGTTACAGTTTTTCCGAATTCATTGTAACATAAGATATGTAGTTTTATCTTATGATGGAATAAAGACTTTATTATTATTATTATTATTATTATTATTATTATTATTATCATTATTAGAAGAGCAGTTTTTTGGTTTTTAAACTGTCATCGGCAAGAATGGATATAGAATGTGCTTTTGGAATTTTTTAAGGGTCGTTTTGGCTGTCTCAGGAGGGACATGGATATAGATATGAAGTATTTGCCTGAAGTAATCCATGCTTGTTTTATCCTGCATAATTACTGTGAGATAAACAATGATGTTATTGCTAACTCGAAGGTAGAAGAGGCACAGAGATTTGATGCAAACTTTCAGCCAATTCTCTCAACATGTCATGGTGTATATAACAATGAATCTGGTGGGAAAAATGCGTCAAATTGTTGTGAAATATTTTGAATGACTTTAAAAGTGTAAGAGATCAGTATTGTTGATATTCAAAGGCCTGCAGAATCAAACAGTCCAAGACAGACCAAATTATTTATTTCGTGTCCAAAAACGTTTAAAAACAAGGTGACAAATGTGATAACTCCTGTGTCTCAGGTCTGAACAAAATACACCGTAAAGGTTATACTTGATATTTTTTTCATGATCAGCAAGTTATAAACAACTGAATCCACAAGCATAAGACGCACAAGTAGGTTGACTTTGCAGGATGTGAAAATATGGCCAGGTTTTTTTTGCTACTAAAAAAGAAAAGTTTTAAAAGGCTAAGTCTGTGTAAGACAGAAATGTGTATATTCAGTATCACCTCAAAGTAGTGGGGAAACGATGTTTTTTTTTTGGTTTGAGAAATGTTAATTAAAATTTCCCCTTTTCATTTGCACTCTGTTAGTTCCTACCTCTTATGTAATATCTGATGTAAAAATGAACACCCAACTTAAACGTGGCAAAATGTGCTGCCTAAACAATGGAAACAGTCTTGTAAAAAAGAGGCAATCACAACTTCCGTAGTGCAACAAAACACTACTGAACGCAACAAAAGAAACTGACTGGCAGGTCCTTATATAAGAGATAACAAGTGACTTGCAAAGCAACATTGAATTTCACATTTCAAGGCTCAAAGTAATTCGCATCAGGATCATTGCTTGTCCTAGTTCTATCGCCAAGGGTTCGTTCAAACACAGGCATACCACCCTGTGCTTCTCCACGACGATACATATTTGAACTTTGCCCAACTTGGTGAAATGGTTGATGATTGTATCCCGCATAATGTGGCATGTGCTGTGATTCCATGCTTGGAGAAGGCGTGTGACTTGCATTTGGCGGCCTTAATCAGCCAAAGCATGATGCTTTGGCTGATTGACTCTCCAAATTATAAAAAAAAACCGCTTAAATCAAGTGAAATCGGTAAAATAACGACACCAGGAGCAAACAGCACACGTATAGAATAAGGTAAGCCATTTTTATTTAATATTTGCACTTTTAAATATCTTTATGGAGATCTTGTAGAAAATCCCATACAATTCCTTAGAAATATGCAAATTGTGTTCCTTGCGTGGTTCTCAAAGAGAGCTTGGGCTGCTTGTGGTTCAAGAGGCCGGCATCAATTAAACCTGGCTAGCGTCAAATTGTTCCATACGCTAACACCGCTGAGTCAAAGTAAGGTCATGAGAATCTCATAGCACGATCCAAAAATGTTGCAAGATGTTGCGTTGAACTGTAATGTGCATTTGACCGGGCCTTAATTCATCTTCCTGCTATTTTTAGCTTTGAATTCGTAATGAGAGAAGCTGTTTCAAATTTTCTTTGAAATTCGCTCTTACACCCATAGTTTCACTGTTTTTGCCATTCCCCCGATAGTTGATCGTAGATTCATTCTTGCACCTTTAAAATTCCTCACATGTCAAATGAGTAGAGCTCATAAACGAGTAAAGCTCATAAATGAGTGGAGCTCATAAATGATTATTAGCCTAGTTTCAACCGGAAGGAAAAAATCAAGAACAGCGGGGGTTGAAAAAATGCTAAGTTTATTGCACGTCCATCTACTAGTTTTCATTCGAGTTGAGTCAATCAGTCAGTCATCAATCAATCAAATTCTTTTTTTAGACGATAATTGTTAAAGCTATAGAGCTTGTGAGTTCGTTTAGTGTTACTTCAATTTTAATTGTTTCTCGTACGTTTCTTGACAGTTTACGACGCGATTGAGATCGGGTTGTTTTGAAAAATTATTAATTCAGCTGTGTTGAAAAAACTCACTTTACTATTTTTTTAGAAAATAAGCCCGAGAAAACCAGTAATTAAAGCAATCAGCTCATTAGGGAAGGTACGTTTTTTATTTGGGGGGGGGTGGGCCGGGATATTTTAGACATTTTTTGCCAAGAAAGTCGTGGCCCTCCCACTTTCCAGATTGGATTAATACATGACCCTTCATGAATGCCTAAACAAAAGGATCTGACCCTCCCCCCACCTCTTCCAAGCCAAAAATAACCGGAAGTGAAAATAACTGACCGGAAGTGTTACTCACATAACCGTGTCTGCGCACAAAGCAGCTAATTGCATAGCGTTGCATGGTGAAAACTTGAAAGTGGGCAAGGATGTGTGAGGAATAGAAAGAGGGAAATGCGCTTGTGGAGAATGCGAGGACTTCATGAGGTCAGATGGTAGGCCTAGCCACAAGTTGCCGATGAATCCAAAAAAAGTTGCCGATAAAAGTTGCCAAAAAGTTGCTATTTTTTAAAAAGTTGCCGAAAAGTTGCTGAATTTCCAAGAAGTTGCCGAAAAGTTGCCAAAATTTTTATGCTTTTCGTACCTTTTTTGGGTGTTAAAGATTAAAAATTCGCACATTGCTTCTTATCAAAACTTCATTTGTCAAAGTCTAATGCTAATATCAGAGGTTCTTTCCATTTCACTTGATCAACAAATAGTCACTGTAATTGTCCGCCATCTTGAAAAACGTGCAACGTGATACCGCTGACCTCTTGATATGGCATCYCAAAAATCAACCCATGGAGGGGGCCCTAATTATTGTATTTCAGAATAAATTGAATAAATGTCTATCGAAAACTGACTAGTGTGGCTCAAAACGTGAAGAAAGTAGCTTCAGAGAACCTCAAAAAGCCCAAAGTTGCCGAAAATTCTAAAAGTTGCCAAAATTCTAAAAAGTTGCCGAAATCTCAAAGCTTGCCGAAAAGTTGCCGAGAAACTCGTGGCTAAGCCTATCAGATGGAGTAGCTCAAGTAACGAATCGTCAGTGGACACTTATTCTATACCAGAGTCCCGCGCGGAAACATTACCGACGTCAAAATATGGACGAAAGCAGGCAGGGGTCGAGAGAGACAATTTACGTTAGTTGGGACAAGATAGTTTTTCGACATAATATTCCGACATCTATTTAAAATGACGTAGGTTGATTTAGACTGGTAGCTTTGCTTGTATATATAAGTTTTAGGTTTCTATACTTTTTGCGTGTTTGGTAACAAATAATTAAAAGTCAACTAACCGACATGGAGTAGTTTTTTCCTTGCCAAAAAAAAAAAAAACATGTAACCCTCCCCCGGATGCGTATCAAACAAGTTTGACCCTCCCCAATTTTTGAAATATTTACTAATGACCCTCCCCTCCGAAGCCCTTGCCCACGCCCCCCCCCCCAGTAAAAAACGTACCTTCCAAGTTATCTCTCTGTTTGAGTGAAGCTAGTTAAATGCAACAGAGCGCAAACAAGGTTTGTATTAAACTGGACATGTTTGGAAGAATTGATATAAAAATTAACAAAAATGGTTTTAGAAGATCCCCTTTTCATTGTAAATATATATAAGATACAAATCAGGCAGATTAGTACTCTTCTCAGTTAAATTGCAAATAAGTTTTAGTTTTGATGTCAGTTGAGATCAGCTGGTTTATTCTAAGAAACAGCTCTACCCTGGCAAGCAAGCAGTTTTTCAATTTGTCTTAAGACTGATTAGCGTCAAATTATTCCTTGCGGTATTATCGCAGAGTCAAAGTAAGGTCTTGAGAATCGGAAAAGAACGAACGTCACTGAACCAAAGAAGCCCTTGATTCATATGGTGAACGATCCTCGCAGTAGATAGCGCTATTTAAGCGCTATTAAGCGTTTTTAAGCGCTTTTATTTATTCAGGTCTGATTTTCGCTATTGCTTAAATAGCGCTATCTACTGCGAGGATCGTTCACCATATGTATCTAATACCGCAGTTCAAAATATATGAGCTTCATATATTTACTTGTATCTGAAGCCCTTGATTGATAGACAAATTCTCCTTCTCATAAGCACCGGGAATGTATACAGAAGAGTATGGAGAATTCTTACATTAATGCTTGGGTTTGAGCTATTCCATTTAGTTCATCAAAATATATTATGCTAACGCAAACGTGGTAATTTATGCGACTTTTTATTAGTAAGTACAGCGGCACTGACGAATGTTTCCCCCGAACGTGCCTCTCTTGTAATCAGTTTCCTTCCTCTACTTCAATTCTTAACAATGAAATAATGGAGGTTGTTGAGCTAACAGCAAGAGCGGCAAGAATTCATGCTAATCAATGAAATGTGATGTGTTTTAGGGGGAGCTTACACCAGATAAAATCACCTGGTGCTTTCAAATTTCTTGTGAATTATGGTGTTACATTAGTTCCTCACCGGAAGATTATCTTCTCAGCTTTCATTTGTGTAGGGCCGGCCACTTGAATATCGAAATATGGAAACGTGGTTTTGGATTCTTGGCTGGTCTCTTTCCATCCTGACCTATTCTGGATATGGATTTATTATCTTCCTTGTTTGTAGAAGACGGCGGCTTCGAACAAAAACCAACGCATTTATAGTTTCTCTTGCTGTGGCCGGCTTTTCTACTGGGTTGACAGCTTTTCCCCCACTTTTCGTCTGTGAGGCGATAACTGGATGCGATCCTAAGGCCTTCTTGGCAAGCAGGATGGATTATTTAAGGTGGCTGTTCGGGTACGCATCTGTGACAAACTTGTGCTGTTTAGTCCTTGAGCGCTACTAACGACAACATTTC